AATGGCAAATGATATTTTTGTCTTCCGAGATAATATATATTTTCTTATTACAATTTGATTATGAAATTAATAATAAAATATCATAATTCTTGTGGCCAAATATATGATTGAACATCATTTTTCCCCCTCCAATGTCATATGTAGTTCTCCCTTAAATTTGACTACGATAATCAAGATATAAGCTGGATTTTTGTAATCTGAACCAATTAGAGAATAATATTGTTACCTTCTGAGGTAACAAATTATTCATAATGTCACATTTGACTACAAAAATACAAACCCCAAAGTCTACATTTATTTATTTATTTATAAAATACATATATATTGATTGCACCCCAAAAGAAGCAAACGTCAAGGCAATCAAACCGTAAATGAATACACTAAAGAGTTTTACCAGCTGAGTGCTTGAAATAACCTTAATGAATCTCCAAACCAGTTAGTAACTCGATATATAGTCGGTCTTAAGGATGCAATTCAGGACAAACTTGAATTAAATTCCATTTGGTCCCTTTCCCGGTCAATTAATTTTGCACTAAAAGCAGATACTCAATTGTCTAAGCATTCCCATAGCCACGACTGCCACTAATTCAATGTGTTATGATCTGATTATTCTAAAAGTGGTGGAGCTCCATTCCAAATAATACAAGCAAATGCTCCGGTAATTACAAATCTTGCTGCTACCAATACACAATCCAATGATCCGAAGACACAGGCTAGAGTCAAAGCACCATTGCGGGATAATCCATATGCTAAGCCTAACACCTTCAAGTGTTTCAGATGTTTCCAGCCAGGTCATAGATCAAATGAATGTCCAACTAGACCGCAACTCCAACTGATTAAAGCAGACGATGAAGAGCAATTGAATGGTGAAACCGACCATGAGCAGACAATCAAAGATATAGCGGGAGATGATGGAGAACCATTAGTTTGTGTAATGGAAAAGTTACTACTGGGTCCCATGCAAGCATTCAATTCCCAAAGTAATGCATTATTTCGAACCAGATGCACTATACAAGGAAAAGTTTGTGAGTTACATGCTAACAGCAGTTGCACAGAAAACATCATCACTTGATCTGCCACTCAAGCATTAAAACTCAAAACTACAAAAAATTCTCACCCTTATAAAATCAGTTGGGCTAAAAAGGGAATGGACATCTTGTTTTCAAAAATGTGTTGGGTTACATTTTCTATAGGCAAGCAACATGAATGTGAGGTCCTTTGTGATGTCATTGATATGGATGTGTGTCACCTTACACTTGGCCGAACATGGCAATTTGATGTGGGAGCAATTCATGACGGTCATTTGAATACATATGCTTTTGATGGGAAGGGAAAATGATTGTGTTTATGGCCTCATTCTTTCGAGACAACCACTAAACCTACAGCTAGCAATGCGGCAATGCACATTGTTTCAGGCATAGGCCATTTTTGTTCATAGAAAGAATCCACTTCATTACTAGCTTTAATCTTGCAATAACCTTATACAGGAAGCAGTGCCAAACAATTTCCAGAAGAGTTGCCAACTTTGTTGAAATAGTTTGAAGATCTTATTCCCAATGAACTACCATCTTCATTACCTCCACTTCGCAAGCTACGACATTAGCTTGATTTTATACCAAGTTTGACCATTCTCAATCTTGCGCATTATAGGATGAGTCCAGGACACCATGTCATTTTTCGGCAACTTGTGGATGATTTGTTGACCAAACAATTGATCCAGCCCAGCTTAAGTCCCTGCACTGTGCTAACTTTGATTGTATCTAAGAAAGATGGAACTTGGCATATGTGCATAGATAGCCGAGCTATTAATAAAATAATCATTAAGTTTTGATTTCCAGTACCACGTATTGATGAACAGCTTGACAAACTTTATGCCTTTCTGGTTCCACTATATTCTCCAAGCTAGATTTACATTCAGGTTATTATCATTTTCAAATTTGGCTAGGCAATGAGTGGAATATGCCTTTAAAACACGAGAAGGGCTTTATGAATAAAAAGTTATGTTGTTCAGATTGTGTAATGCTCCTTCTACCTTCATGAGGCTTATGAATAAAGTCCTAAAGTCCTTCTTAAACAAATGTTGTGTAGTTTACTTTGACGACATACTTATATTTAGTGCCACCTTGACAGATCATTATAAGCACTTGAAGGCCATCTTTGAAGTATTAAAGCATAACAAGCTATATATTAATCTCCCCAGGTGTGTATTGTCCATGTCTTGCATTAATTTTTTGGGATTGCTAGTACCTAGTGAAGGTGTTCACGTCGATCCAAAAAATAATTATGCTATTATAGGGTGGCCAACTCCTACCTCTATTTTTAATATTTATAGCTTCCATGGACTCGCTAATTTTTATCAATGTTTCATTTGTGGGTTTAGTACATAGATGGCACTAATAACGAATTGTTTAAAGCTAAAAACCTTCAGTTGGGGTGAAGAACAATAGTGTAATTTTGACTCTATCAAGGTTTCTCTCAGCACGGCTCCTCTTCTTGCTTTACTTGACTTCAATAAACCTTTAATGTTGATATCGACGATTCTACAATTGGAATAAGTGTTGTTCTTTCACAGCAAAACGACCCATAGCATTTTTCAATGAGAAATTAAGTAAATCTCACAAAAAATGGATTGTGTAGGAGCAAGAGCTATAAGCTATCATTTGTGCCTTAAAACAATGAGAACATTACTCACTACACCAAGATTTCATGCTTTGCAGCAAGCATCAAGCGTTACAGTACATAAACCCGCACAAAACTATTAGTAAAATGCATGCCGGATGGATCTTATACTTGCAAAAATTTACTTTTGTACTTCAGCATAAATCTGGCAGTCGAAATAGAGTGGTAGACGCTCTTAACCGTCGTTCCGCACTTCTTGGACAGCTGCAAACTAAAATCATCAGCCTTGCATGCTTAAAGGACTTCTATGACTTAGACAAATACTTTAGCACCATTTGAAACTCTTGTGTGATTCAGCTCATCACGGTTTTCACTTCAAACATAACATGCTATGTATTCCTATGTCTTTGTGGAAACAGCAATTGATAAAAGAAATACATTTTAGTGGCTTAGCTGCCCATGGGGGTCGAGACAAGACACACGAACAACTGCAACAAAGATTCTTTTGGCCTCACATGTGAAAGGATGTGTCCCATTTTATTGAAGGTTATTCTATTTGCCAAGAATATAAAGGCAGAGGTCAAAACACAGGTCTATACACCCTGTTTCCAATTCCGAACTCAATATGGGAAGATTTGAGTCTTGATTTTATTCTTGGGTTACCTCATACCAAACGTAGTTTTGACTATATTATGGTTGTTGCTGATCGTTTTTTCTAAAATGACTCATTTTATTGCCTCCAAAAAGACTTTTGATGCACTACATATTGCTTGCTTATTTTTTAATGAAATTGTTCAATTGCACGGTGTTCCACAAAGTCTTACATATAACAGCGATGTCAAGTTTATTAGCCACTTTTGGCGAGAGCTATGGAAGCATATGAATACAATTGTGCAACTTAGTTCTACTTATCATCCCCAATTGGATGGTCAGATCAAAGTGGTTAATCAGACACTAGGAAACATGCTGATATGCATTGCTCGAAGCCAACTGAAACACTGGGAAGTTGTTTTGGGACAAGCAGAATTCGCATACAATTCTATGACTAACTGCTCAGCAGGATGAAGCCCTTTCAATATTGTGTACATTAAGGCTCCCAACCACATTCTTGGCATTGTTGTTCTGCCCAAGTGTCACAGCCAAACAACTTCTTACCTCGCCACTCAATTCACTTCTATGCTCCCTGATGTTTGTAACAAGTTGGCGGTCTCCAATGAAGCATACAAACAGCAAGTTGATAAACATCGATGCTATAAAGCATTTAATCCAGGTGATTTAGCTATGGTTAGATTACGCTATGAAAGACTCCCACCAGGTACGCAATCCAAACTAAATCCTCGCAAGATTTCCTTCCAATCTTAAAGAAAATAAATGAACATGATTATATTGTCGATTTGCGTAAACACCTTAACACACCTTCTAACTTCAATGTGGCGAATATTTAAACTTACTACCACCTGAAGAGTTCAACACAAACAGTTCTTCAGTGGGTTGTTATTCTGCTGGAGGGGCAACATGATGCGGAGCATATGCTATGTCCAAAGTATCATACTCCCACTCTTAGCTAACCACCTCATTACCATTTATATTGTTATATCTTCCTAGCACTACTTCGCTTTATTTCCGCTTTGCTTCTTTCGTAATAGTTGTCTTCCTTTTTGCATATATACAGAGGTGGTATTATAGGCAGAGTAGAGAAAAATATATAACAAAAGCTTTTTGCTTTCTGTTCTATTCCATTTGTTTATTTTCCTGCATTGTTTGTTTCCATGATTACTCGCATCAACTCACCTTCAACTTAGAACTTGACATAAAATGCCCAACTCTTGGTAGTCGTCAGTTTGCCAGATTTGTCTACTTCATAACCTGCTTCATAGAGTTGTTTTGTATAGATTTTCCTGTATTTCTTAATTTTAGCCACTTCTATACTGTAGAATATTGATCTAAACATATAAATAGAAATTTAGCGCCTATAAATAGGAGTTAGCGCATCACATCAATCATATACTCTGCAATCATCCTCAGTAGTCAGTACAATCATCCTCAAAATTATCTTTCAAACTCCGAAGTTACCAACATCTACCCCTTCTTTGACTAAACCATGCGTCATTAGCAATATCAACATTCGAAAAATCAACTCAGAACATTATCAAGACTTTATGAAGTCGCCGAATAACATCTTCCAGCTTATCCCACAAAATGCCCTCATCAGTACCTTACAATAAGAACCTACACATTCCTAACATCTTTTATTCCAACTTAATTACGATAAATCAGAAACATCCAAAAAAGCAGTAAGTTCGGAGCTCCAATTCTCCATGATAACTTGTTGATTGGGCAACAACCATCGCACGTTAACGAAACGAAAGTTTGGATCGAACCTCGAATGCAGCGGACGCCATTTTTCTGGAGATCGACGGACCAGGGCGAACAGGAGCGAGTATCGAAAGATCGCACCTCCTCTGCGCCCCTCCTCACGAGTTCGAGGCACAGCGCCGCTCCCACGAAACCTAGACCTCCTGTTACAACGAAACGATTCCCCTCGATCCCTTCGTTCTCGCTTAGATGCATCTCAATCCCCCAATCTCCCTCACCTT